GTTGTTTACTCTGTTTTCCCTACCGTGTTTTTTCTCACAGAGATGCTTAGCTTTCTGCACCTGGTCCTTATGGCCATTTGAGGTCCCACCGGCACACCAGGCACTCAGAAATGCCCATCAGCTGTAATGGAGCCAGGTTCAACTGCTCCACAAAATCAGTACCTGTGGTCTCTTAACCTTCCCACGTTGTTGTCTTCCTTCTCCGATGGCAAAATTCATACCCATAGCAGGTGTCTGCGTAACCCAAGACAGACCAGCCAGCTGTGACCCTCCATCACAGTGCTGTGCTCCACCAGCTCTAGGAGTGCTAGTAAAAATACTACCCACTATTAAAAGATCTACGCTTTTAACTGAAAGCAGGTGTTGCTTGTCATGTTAGTCTTTTCACTGGGCTAGTGCAGCAGCAGAGCCAGCTGAAGTAACCCAGCTGGTGGGGGGTTAAGTGGTTACTGCCATTCTCCCCTCCCCAGGGGAGGTGTTACTGTGTTTAAAAAAAAATAAAAAAAATATATCAGTTCTCTGAGGTCTCTCAACTCTGTCAGATGAATAAATGGATGGGAAGAGAGGTACATTGTCCTTTGTGGTCAGACAGGTTGCCCAGAGAAGTTGGGGATGCCCCACCCCTGGAAGCGTTCAAGGACAGGTTGGATGGTGCCTTGAGCAATCTGGTCTAGCGGAAGGTGTCCTTGCCCATGGTGGGGTGGTTGGACTAGATAATCTTTCAAGGTCCCTTTCAACCCACACCATTCTGTCATTCAAATCTGGATCAGCAGCAACATGGATAGTACCTCTAACCATACCCAAACTCCACGGCAGGGCACAGGCAGTGCTCCCCGCGCCCTCCCCAACACCCTCTCTCACGCTCTTTGGTAGACAGGCATTAAATTTTTCAACTGGCAAAAAATCATGGCTTTTCACAGGAGCAGCAAAAGGACGCAACCTTGATGCACAGTGCCAGAGGATCTGTAACCCATTAGTATCAAAGCAATTTTCTGAAACGCTCTTGCAAAAAACCCAAGGTAGCTGCTGTCAGACGTGGGAGATTCCACCCATGAAGTCAAACCAGACCCAAAGAAAAACCCAGCTGGAAAAGCAAAACGCAGCCACATTCAGACCTGCCCAAGCAGGAACAGCACCAGTGACAGCTAAACAAACCCAAGGAAACAGAACTGGTGGGACTGCATGACTCCAGCTCAAAGTTGTTAAAGCCTGTAAAATTATGAACAACAGAAAACAGCACTGTAGCAGGAAAACCTGTGCCGCAAAAAAAGTCAGTATTTTTATGATAAGCAATGCTGTGAAAACAAGCCAAAGCACAATCGTTATCACTGCCATATAAGCTTAAAACATTGTTTCCACAGAGTCTCTTAGGAAGTCTCGCAGTCTAAGTTTCACTGTGAAGGAACACCATCCAGTTCTCTCACTGCCAAACCATGCTTGCTTGGTATGTACAATTTCACTTTTTTTTCTTTAAAGAAAAAAAGTACAAAAATAACTATGTAGAGCTGTTTTACAAAAAAAGAATTAGCAACTTCTTAAATAACTAGGAATAAATTTTAATATTTAATTAGACACTGAAGTTTCTCAAGCAGTCAGACATGGAATAATGTGACTCAACAATGTGAAAAAAAAATCCCATTAATAAATCTTTCAAGATATTTTGCTTTTCCAAGTAATTCAAATGAAAAAAACCCCTAAAAACTGACCATGAACACACAGTTATTGAACAAAACAGACATTTAATTTGATTATTCTTCCTAGGTTGTATGAAAATACATCTAACATATTCAACTGAAAATTGCTTCCATGCTTGCTCATGTGATAAAAGAACAACAAATTCTGAATTTGGTTATCAGGTACCAGCTTTGAAGAGTTTGCTGGAAAAGGCAAGACATTTTTCTACTTTGATGGGCAAGACATTAAGTACATAATTTAATGCCACATAATATGCCATACTTAGATCTTACTTAGGTGAATTTATAACAGAAAATATTTTAAGCTGCCGAATGCTAAAAAGTATTGAATTGCATCATGAGAAAGCTTAATTTTTCAAGACAGTTTTCCCTTGTATTTGAACAGTGGGAGAAGGAAAATACTGAAACAACTTTTCTTTTGTCTTCTTTTTTTAACAAAACTTCATCCTATTTTCCCAGCGCTGCAGAGTAAGGTACAAAAGCCTTCATTAAAAAGACACCTAAACCCCACCTTTTCCTGATTCAGAAATTAAAATTCTACCAGATCATCACCTGAGTGACTTAGCCGAGCTCATGGGGTTGCATGGTCAGTACATATTAAGGGAGAACATGATCCACATTTCTTTTAAAGCTCAATCTCCAAAGTATGCGATCAGCAGAAGGGATGAATTCCTAGCAACTCGAAAGCAAACTCCTAGTTTGCAGTCTCAGCGATGCAAGCCTTCATTGGCCCGAAGAGTTGAGTAGTAAGGCGCAAAGAAGAGGTAGAAGGAAGCAGAAAGTCAAACAGCCACTTGCTAAGATCTGTTTGTGTAAATTTAACGTTATGAAAAGAGCGTTGAGAGGGATTGCTTTGAACGCCAAAGTCTTTATTTACCCACAGACAGATACAAAATGGGTGGCTGTCCTGCATCCTGCCATGCTAAATGTGCTTGTGAGCCCACCTGAGAGGCAGGCAGGGAGTCGTAGGCTCCGCGACCGATCTTAAAACGGATGGTGTTACTGCAGCAGTGCCAATCAGTAACTACGTGAGATGGTGGCTTCTGGAAGTGGGTATCTGCCTCTTAGGACCTGGGGCATAACTGTTCCAGGGTGCCAGAGCTGTTACACCTATATATGAAGAGGAAAAAGCAACAAAACAACTAAAAAATTAACAAATTATAAAAGCAATGGAATGTAAAGGTAAAATTTTATAATAACTTATTTAAAGGTATTCTTATAAAGCCTTTCTTACATGGTATAGTATTCAAAGAATGGTCCCAATGACATCAAATTCCTTCATTTTGTTTAAAAGCAATGAGGAAAATCTTTCTGCTTTCCTACCTGATCTCACTTTCCTCCTCTCAAAAACCAATATTAGAGAAACATACATAATACCATTTTTTGGTTTTGATTTTAGGCACAGGCCTATGCTTCAGTCCCGGTATAACAAACATCTATAGCAGAGGGAAAGTTTCCCTCAAAATCAATTAAGAAATCTTGATTTTTAGCTCGAGTGCAAGGCTTGGCATACCACTTTAAAAATGCAAACATGTAACACTTTCCCCTATTATGAACTGTGATATTTTTTCAAAATTATTTGAAAAAAAAAAAAAAATTAACCTTCCAACAATGTTTATAGAAATGGATTAAAAGAACAAAGCATTTGGTCACAAAATAAAACCCAAAGAGTTCAGGATAGGACAATGCTACATTTAAAACCTCTTTCAATTAATATCTTCTAATAAAACCAAAGTTTTGTACGTGTTGGGAACAAATGGGGATTTCGATAATTCCAAAAAACTAAATCTGCAATCAAATCCTGAAGAAATACTTTGGAAAAAAACATACACTTTCATGATATAGCAAGGATTCATTTTCAAAAGGGCTACACAGAGTTTCTGCACTATTAAAGGCGAACTAAGCTAGAACATACACAAATTCCTAAATGGACATGAAGGCGCACATTGTGTTTACATAGGCTAGATAACAATGGCACAAGTCAAAACTTACTTGTAACACTGCCTAATCACACACCAATGACATGCACTGGGAAGAAAACAGGTAAAGACATTCTTCTTTACCGTTTTTTCCTAGTTCTAATATTATTTCCATCAATACTAAATCTTGTATATTTACCTCACTGCAAGTGTGAGAACCTAACGGGAGCAAAGAATTCAAAACAGCTTTGCTGACACAACACAGTGGCGATAAGATAGTCGAGAGCAGAGCTCCTAAAAAAGTAAAGAGTAATTTCAGTCTGCCAAGTCAAGTAGCCAGTTTTATACAAACTTCATCAAAAGGAACAGAGTCAGGCTAAATTTCACATTAAAATTGTTCCTTACGTGCTTCTGCAAAAATCTATTTCACTTTTAATTAGTTGTTTTGAATTTAGTTTTTGCACTTTAGTTGTTTCACCTTCTGTTTCATTCATGGGGTCTTTTTTGTTCCTTGTTGGGCATCTTTTGCATTATCACAACGTTGTAATGCTTGGGCTCCAAGCATTGCAAAGAAATGTTTGCCTCTGCGTTTTACTTCACATTAATGAAAAAAAAAAAAAAAAAAAATCAAGTAATTTTTTCAAATAATAGGTTTTGTAAGATTTATTTTTATTAAGACACAAAAATCCTAGAGTATTGGGCCTAGATTGCAAGACAATATCCCTTTAAATCCAGACTTGTACAGCTCTGCAAGATCAAGTCACTTCTATTTCGCTGGAATGAAATACAGGAAAAAACAGTATAGAAAAAAATCTCTTACAACGTAAGATTTCCCCTTTCTGGTACAGGGTGTGCTTTTCCCACCACGCACTATATTTCTTGGTGGAAGGATATTTAAAAACACGTTTGTTTAAGAATCATTGGAGAGCTATTTTAAAGAGCACAAATTGTTATGTGTGTGGTTATAGCGAGATACGCACCTGGATCGTGAATGGCATTCAAGCACTTGCTCAAAAACACACAAAGCAAGCAAATCTCATTGGGACCACAGACCAAGCCATTTCTTACTTAAAAGGACTTGAGAGCTAATAACTTTCTTTCAAGGATATACTATTTTAAACATCTGTTGGTTGACAAATACTATCTCAAAAACCTATGCTTACGCCTACCTGGTTTGATTTTAACCTACCTCCACTCTGAAAGTATTTTGGAGGGAACCTTTTACATTCGTAACAATTCAAGTGTAACTGTAATGCTGAGTAATAAGTTTGGTTTGTCCTGAAATTTTCTGAACTATGCAGTTCGTTATCAGTGCAGAAGCAGCAGAAGACTGCTGTGGTTGGCTCAGTGGATTTATAAAAACAAAACAAAACAAAAAATCACCCCCCCACCCCCCCCCGCCCCGAAACCTTTACAGAATATATGTAAAATTGTGTCCTTCCCTGGTCATATTCACAACTTATCTACAAGATAGTGTTGGCAGTAGAAACTGCAGTCCATGACTATTTGCATTCAGCTCTCATCCATCTGTTCCTCTGCTTTCTCTTAGGCTTCAACTTGTTCAGTTTTTTGCGGGGTTTCTCAGTCTTCTGAGGTTCAACAGAATCCACCCCAAGAACGTGTTCAGAGCAGCATAAGTGTCCATTCAACATAGAATTTAGTACTGTCCCGTCTTGGTGTTCCTTGCAGAAAGAATTTGGGCAGAAGTGGCAGAAAGAAACGGAAGGTTTGCCACAAACATCACAGTGGTGCCAAGGACACTCCCACTTTCCTGGGATCAAAAACAAAAGCACATTAGTGGGAGGTAGAACGTGTCATCGTCTTTTAAAGGAAGTTTTGTGTTTTAGCAGCTGAACAACGCATGAGTTTCCTGACCAAGCAAGACAAGACAGCAACTATCGTGGGTAATCTCAAAAATCAAAATGCTACATCAGCTCCACTGACAGCAGTAAGTAGCAGACTTGACATCCTCTTGTTTAAATACAGCAGTCAGCTCTAGCTAGAAGAAATTATTCAGGCTTTATTAAATAGCATTTTACAGAACTTGCAGGCTGGTAGAGTATCCAAACATCCAGTCAACTGCTGCCTGCCGTTACAACGCTCACCCGTTCGTTGCAAGTTGTGCTCAGGGATGGCTGGTGTGCTACACCTACAGGCGTTCTGCTCCAGCGTATCTTACCGGTCATTGTGTTACTTGCTTGTGGGATAACAGGCTTTGCCTGCTTCACTTCTTCATATCCCACCTGACATGGCTGACTGTGAAATCAGGTAACTCCTGTGGTATCTGGAACTGCAGCCTGATGTCTGCTGCCCTTATCGTTTTCCTACTTGCCTTATTCCAGATGGTGCTGCTGTTCTTTTGGCTTGAACTCAACTGGCTCCATGCATTTCTTAGATATAATCTACTGTCCTGTGACAGGGCCACAGTGCTCCTACTGAGTGATGTAGTCAATTATCTACATTTGTAAAACAAAAGGCTCATTTTGCCAGAGAGGCAGAAGGAAGGCCATTATTTTGTCTCCATACTCAGGAGCTCCTACATGATGCACGAACCAAGTTCTCACCATAAGAAAACAGTGTTTTCAAGATGACACTCTTGACAAGGTTTCAGTGCAGCAAACGAGGTACCTGCACAAGTTAGTTATTTATGTAAGTTTAAGAGGCAAACCAACTCACCGAAAGGTCGTTTCACCAAACCAAGACAGGAAAGATGATAAGCTTTAGTACAAGATTTCCTGTCGCACAATACCAGCTGGCCTCCATCACCACAACGGAAACAATCGTCTTCAGATTCTTTCTTCCCTTCATTTTTCGTTCTGCGTCTCCGTGTTCTCTTTTTGGTCTTTTTGCCTTTTTCTTCTGAGGCATTAGTGGAAGAATTCTAAAAGAGTAAGACGCAAATCTATGAATGCCAGTTTTGCAAAGGAAAAATATTACACAATCTGGCAAAACTGTTGGCATGCCTGGCAGACCATCCACACAGGCAAAAATTTGACTTGGTACAAGCTTGCCCAGAGCCTCACGGTGCCTATCTGTGTTGATAAAAACCCCCCATACTGACCCTTGTGAAAAGTCAACTTGAAACCAGATCTTGTCCCTACAATCCTTTCCTACTGGAAAGCTCCTCCACTTTCCTATGACTGAAAAAAGGTCTTCCAATTTCCAGTCTAATCTACTTGCACCTGATTTTGTTCCTGCGCCACCAATCACTTAACTTCAATATCCATTTTTTCTCTTTCAGTTGTGTATACTCATGCTGGAATTATTAAAAACAGCCTCCACTTCCCTTCTTTGAGGAACGGACAGCAGAATTTCAGGAACTGTAACTGTGCCCATAATGCTAGAAAGAACATACCAAGCTTTATCCCTATTTTAGTAAGACATTCTGCTGCTTGCACTTCAACTCTCCTTCACCAAATCATATTAAAAAAATCATTCTGGATGATTTTTCAACATCCTACCATCATTCCCTCCCCCTCACCCCAGTAATCATTACCTACTTTCTTTAAAATTAGCCCATTCTATCTACCAATGCAGATGGCCCTGAAAAATTGAACTGTAACATTTCATTTCTTCATGGTTGTCTGCATAAATTGATCATAAGCTTATGTGCAACCCCACTTAAGCCTCTCCCTTAACAAAAAACAGCTATGTGAATTCTGGAGATTTTAAGTCCACCCTCTGAAGTGCCTGACACTGAGCAGTGTGAAGGACTACATGAAGGTGCAGCCTTTCTATTTCCACAGCTGAGATTTTTTTCTCTTGGGAATGTGCCCAATGCCTGCCCTCGCACTCCTATGCCAGTCCTTCAGGAAGCTCCATCAACTTTTGCTGGATTACAGGTTTTAAATTGACCTGGGATGAATCATACAGGCCATTTCTTGATGTAGTTTGGTATTCTTTTCCTCACTCTAAACTCACATTTTTTATTCTTCAGTTGAAGTGAAAATATTTTAAAAATAATCAGATTTTAAAGTTTAGATGGGGTAAATATAAACTGCATGTCAGAATAATCTCACTGACTAGACTTAGGCACATTCTTAGTCAGTTCCTAGCTCCTACAACCCTTCACCTCCCCACACTTCAAACAGGACTAGGAAGGTTATTCCTAATATACTTTTGATTCCAGAAGCTAGCACCAGTAGCTAGCAATATTTCTTATTCAGGACCCAGAGTAATTAACTTCTCATAGGAGAAAATGGGAGAAAATATTTTAGGGTGTTCCCAAAAGCAGTATCGCCTGCTGTACTATTATAGCATAAAAATGTATCCTTTAGCACCAAGGTTATGTTTGGCAAAAGAATGCTTCCATCTTCCCAGCCAGAGAAACAGTAAGCTTTTTCCTCAGAGGGCAGTTAGCATCTGTTCAAGCAGCATTAACCCTTATCATAACATAAAACTTGTCCACCAACGCATACCCCAAAAGAAAAAACAAGGCTAGTAGGCAAGACACGGTCAAAATCTCTTGATATATTACTTGCCTTTGGTCTGTCCCCAAGAAATCCACTGCAGTTTGGGGCACCACATTTGCAGACTGTTTTTTCATTGCCCAGACAGTCAAGGTTGTAATTAAAAGTCAGCTCTGTCCCTGAGTGAGATAAGACATACCCTTTCATTATGAAGGACAAGGTAATGAAGTCTATCAAAATTATTAAAAACAAATACAGATTTCATTACATGTCTTCCTTCTGGTTTTGTACTTGATTGCTGATCTATTATCATAACAATAGAGAGATATATATATAGATATACGTGTGTGCATGTGCATACACAAACAAGAACATCCTTCTTGCCCCACTCTTTAAGTCTATTATCATCGCTTGAAAAAAAAGATACAGCCATTTTCTTTGAGATCTCTAAAAAATATTCGCACTGATTCAGTTAAACCATGACTGTCCCACTCATAACTGTGCAGAAGGTTTAACTTAGGGAATTAAAACAAAACCAACATAAGCTGATATACCTGCAGGAATATCACACACAGCAAACAGGCCGACACGAGTGTCTCCATTTACTGTCCATTTTAGAGTTTCACAATTTGGTTGGCAGCTGTGATTCATGAAACGAGAATAGTTTCCTTTGGGGCCAGCATCGATAATACGGTCCTGGAGATCAAACCAGCAACAGAATGAATATTTTTTTTCTCCCCCTCACCAAAAAAAAAAAAATTTTCCATAAATTCTTTCAGTAGCTGTATTCAAAACAGACACGGTGTTGCTCCCCAGAAGCACACAAGCAAACCAATGGCCCATGTTGTATTGAAAACTGTAGTGTCTCATGTGGCCTGGAATGTGACACTCCCAAAGCAATACTCGTGCTCTAGCTCACATTTTCAGAACCCATCTCAGCCACGTGGCAGGATAAGTGTTCTTGTGAGCACCGTGGTGGTCACGTTAAGAACCCCCTCCCTCCAAAAAGCCTCAGAACTCAAACTCAGTCCATTTACCTTTTACTTTGCATTCACAAAGCTGTGACGCATTTACAATACTGTGCTTTATGGTATTTACCAAGTCACTGCATGATTACTTGCAGAGATTACCAGTTTCTCACCAGCTTGCTTTCCCCAAATCAGCCTAGTTTAAACAAAAACAAGCTCTTGGTAAACTAAAAAAAATCCCATCCCTAAACACAATTGCCTTTTAATTTCTATCTCCGCCAAACATACCAGACATTAACAAAATAAAGTCTTGACTGTGTTTTTTTGCAGAGCTGCTTGAGAAAGCTTTGCCTATTTATGAAATATTATTATAGTTTCCTGCTGGCACATTTTTATAATGCACACGTATGACTCTCACGACTACGTGCCCATACGTCCACCCACTTTTAACTGCATCTGCAGCTCAGCCTCAGAGTGGCACGGGCATTTTTGAAAGCTAGAACGACAAGGATCATTTATTAACTACAGCAAGAGCCAAATAGATGTTCCGTTCAGATATTTCACACCCTGACACTGTGTGTCAGTTTAGTAGAGGGGCGAGACATGTATGCGTTCAGAGAAACATGGTTTCGTCATTCTTAGGTGGTAACTCCCACGCAGGAACTCCTCAGTTACAGGACTAATGAAAAGTAGCTGTGGAAATACAGAGCAGGACAGTCTCGGGCAAAAGAAAGGTGATTAGGGCTGAAAAAAAATGCAGGACCGACTGCCCGCTCTTGTTTTTCTCCTACGCAGCTGCCTGGGGACCGAAGCAATATACTATATATAATCAACACTCCCTACTATCCAGGTTTCCCACTCTCCTCCCCTTCTCAGCAACAAAATACTCGAAGGTGTGCACAGACAACCGCAGATACTGGATTAATTTGCTGTGTTAATTAATCTTCTGGATTAATTTATAGCAAAATCAGTTTGTGGAGTGCTGGCTCGCTACTAATGCAGACAGTGCTTTCAGAAAAGAGTTTCTACAAAAACCTAGTTTTGCTATAAACGAAGAAAGGGACAAACTGTTGCAAAAAAAATTAATGCACAATATAGGAGACAGTCTCACAACTATACTCCACACTACTCTCAAGTGAGATTATTTTTTTTGTTGAAATTGTAGTAAAAGGATTACTAACAGTAATTCTTTCAACTGTATCATTACTATTTCCTCAAACTTCATACTTCCTTTAGGCAGATAAATATTTTTGCTGTACTTGATTTCAAGCAACAAAACACAATTTATAGACCTTAATATATACTATTACACTATGCAGTTAGAACTAATGAGATGCATTTATATATATATAAAATATATATTATATTTTATACATATATATATATATATAAAATGGAGCAAGGAGGCACAGAAGATACAACATAGCAAATATATGAAACTGTGGAGCATCAGAGGTAGCCGAGTGCCATACCAAGGTGATCAACAGAAGGAAAATAGATATATATTATAAAATAATGTTATAATTGAGTAATGGGAAAGAATGTAAAATACTCTACCTTATCAATAGTAAGCATATAGAAGTGGGTAATGTCATTTTCATGTGCATATTTGATTCTTGCCATACATTCCTCTTCATCAATCAGCTCACCAACATACTCATTCACAAACTCTCCCTGAAAGATACCAGGTATCACTAGTAAAGTATATACCAGACCCACAAACAGCATCACAAGTCACCAATTCTTTGCTAGGCAAGAATGATTCATACCTTTTTAATGTCCCTCTTAGCGACCAGACCCCACCCTTTCCCATCGGTTTTGATGATCTTTGTCTCAGGGTATTGACGTTTTGTAAAGCACTGGTTTTGGCACCGTTCTCCCGCTGGACAGACTTGTGGGTGGCATTCGTACATCAGCATCCGATTCAGGCACTCGGAATCAAAGCCACAAGGGTTTTCATCCGTGGGTTTGCAGTTGCACTTGGGAATCTCAGAAATGTCAGCAGTATATATCTGCACTTTACCACAAGGTTTATTCACCTGAATAATACATTAAAATAGTTCAAGCATCACTTTAAAACATTTTAATTTATTGTACCAGTTATTACAGTGGTTACTAATTTGGTTTTGCAACACTAGATGTTCTGCCGGAAGCAAAATGTCATCATCTCATGACTCTAAAAGCACAATTACCAGCACATCATTACAACCTCTGCAGTGTAATTTCCTCAAACTTTACCTTAATATGCTTGTATGGTGGAGGCTTACGTTCACTTTCTTGGGTTTCTTTGGCTTCTCGCTGTAGCTTTATTTCTCGAAATCGAGCTTCAGCTTCTTGCAAAGCTAAAAAAGATTGTTGTATCAACAGAAATGCTAGAAAGAGGATTACTCCTCCCAAGTTGACTTGCTCATTCCCATGTGCGTTAAACAAAGAAGCATCTTCTACTTCCTACTTCCTAGCCCCATCATTCAACTTGCTTGCAAACAATGCTTCTGGAGCGTTAATGCTCTTAACAGATGTATCAATTCTATTCTTTCTGTCTCCCAGTTACACTCATCATTTCCTTTCCCGAAAGTAAAAATCATCAGAAATAATTCTAATGAGATGCTAGTCTTTTACAAGCCATGAAAATAATGCTTTCATTCAATGTTAGTAATAGCGACTTGCTGTCCAGGACACTCAGCAAATTTTTTTAATTCAACATTGTAAAACAAATGTACAACAACAGTCCCGAGGCTATGTGTGAAGAAAATAAAGCACACATGTCACAAGATTATTTTTGTTCGCTTTTTGTTATGTACCATTTTTGAAGACTTTTCCAATTCCTTTGATCCCCTGGTATCTACTCCCTCTGTCTCCCTCCATGTAAGGGAACACCCGGGCTTGGTGCGTCCAATAGTAATCCTTAGAACCAAAGAAAAACACAGGAAATTCTCCGATTTCATGCTTCATTTTCTGGATATTTGGGGGAACGTTTTTCGGATGGCAAACTTCTGCAGGCCACCATCTAGCACAGAAGTACAAATAAAAAAATACAGCCAGATTAGTCAAGCTCTTTCTGCAAGAGACGGTTTAACATAATCACCCTAAAGAGCAGGAACTGATTATTTTTTCCAAGATCTAAGTGGATTTAAAACCCTTTCTTCCCCCCACTCACTAGGTAACGAGAGAAGACGTGACTAGAAAAGGAAAGCCCAACACTCAAGTCTGTGGGACTTTTGCCACCTGCAAGATAAGCACCCACATAAAGCCGCTTGCATCTGGTTAGCAAAAACATCACCTTTAACAAGGCCTGCAATCACTGTAATTGTCAAAGATTAAGAGACAGCTGATAATAGCTATTAATGCTTCCTAGGATAAACCCCACCCACCTCTATCTCACTCAAATCTCAACACTGACAACCTGGGTGACTTGTCTCCCAGCCTGCAAGGCAGTAATTTAGCCAATTGCAAGTTATACCGGCTTAATTATTTGAAGAGCTCTCTGAAACAAAAGGGGTTGAAGGCTCATACACTGGAAGCAGATGTCAGAAGACTACAAGGAGTCCCGTATGTGTAATGCCTTGGCCGAGGCCAACGCCGAAGCTACAAGTCCTTGAACTTGAAGCTCGCAAGGAGAGAGTTCACAGCGGAATGAGAGTCTGTGTGCAGCAAGGCTTGCCTACAGAAGTAACCAACTGCATGATCCTTAATTAAATGTGCCAGTATTGTAAAACAAAATAAATGCATTCATCAGACCTGTAATTTCCCAGTTTAACCCAAATAATATCCTGGAAATGGAGCTTCTTCCCCGCCCTGCAGTCATTGCAGTACCAGCTCCCATCTGGCATTTCAATGTTTAAGCAGTCTGGGTGAAACGCTGCAGGACACGACTCGCAGCACAACAAGCTTCCTCCTTCAGAGAGGGGGAAAAAACAGGTTGAAAAACATCAAGACAAAAATAAAAGTTTTGCGTTCCAACCAGGTTCAAAGCAGCGTGATACACGTGTGGTAGGTTCAGTCAGAAAATAAATGGTTAAAACATGCTGGCCCGCAACAAATACGTATCGTTCAGCTGTGTTCAAAACCCAAAGGTGCTTACTAATTTGAATGCCTGGCAGACTCTGATTAGTAATACATACAAAATAACAAGCAAGCTGGCGATAAAAGAAGCCAGAATAACGCACCGCAAAGTATAATTACTCTGTTTTACTTTAATGACTACAATATATTTAACGTAGTTTAACATATGTTAATATTTCACTGTACGCAAAATTTTAACAACAGATTTCTCTTATGTTTTTTCTCCTGGGGGGAGAGGGAATGAGGTTTTTAGTTTGTTCCATGAATTATCAAGTGGCAAGTTAGTTGCAACTTAAAAGCTGCTATGCTGCATGTTAATTTGTTAACAAGCCAGGTAAACTTTCACTGCTACAGTTTAATCAGCACTATGCATTTTGTGGTTTTCAAGAAGAAATAAATCTATTGTACAACATAAACAAACCACCCTTAATTAGTGGCACTCCCAGCAACAAGTAATACTGATTCAATTTACTGTCTGCTGCTAAACTAAACGCAACTCTTAAAATATTTATGTTTTAATATTACGTATTAGAAATAAAGAAACATAAAATCCTTCAGTACATTGAACGCAAGGGGAAGAGAGAGAAACACTTCTCATTACCTGTCTCTGGTAAAGAATTACATCAGGCTTCTGGACGCTGGACAAAGTCCAAGTAAAAACACTGTAATAAATTCTAGCTGCAAAAAAAGGATACTCTAAAACCTGAAGCAGCACAAGCCAACCTGAAGTTATTTCAATACCTGACTTAATATGCCACATTTCTCATAATTATCCAGAGACAGATTAGTAAATTCAAATTTAAATTGATGAATAAAATGTTTTGATGCTCCATTTATGAAAAGAGTTTTACATCAGTTTACCTTTTGAACACACAAAGCACCAGCTCACATTGACATGCGCATGATGACTTTTGCCTTTCATGGCAGTGAAATGATTCGTACAAACAATGCTGTTGGAAGCGATGACTGCACATCCCGCAGCGATGCAAACGTCTCCGGCGTGGTATGCGACAGGACAGCGAACACAGCGCATCATCTTTCCTAGCAAAGCAGAATACCGCCGTGTTATTTTTGAACAAACCTGATTTTTTTTATTTGAGCTAAAAAACAGTAGTACTGCCTGGGTTAGCCCGTATACGCAAAAAAATTACGGTTTCAAAGTCTGCGTATTTGCCATTTAGCAACAATACTGACTTAACAAAGGTTTTTAAAAAACCCTACACTGAGTTTAAAGCACTATAATATTTAAATGTGAAGGCTTTAACTATGCACACCGGGGTAGACAAGCTTTCCTCAGTCGTGCAATTTTGTCCACGGCTGTCGCCCAAAGCTGCGGATATGCACAGAATCCAACGTCTGCGCTTTCGGCGAGCCTGGCTGCAGCAGTTGCACAGCTCTTGCCCTCACTGTGCTCAGCCTGTTGCTCCTCATCGTAACGCATTCTAGATTTCACTCTTGAGGAGAAAACACGGTTAGCTATAGATAACTGAAAGCTACTTAAAAAAAAAGAACACAAACAAGGTAAATACTAATGTTGACTAAAAATTATTAAAAAAAAAAATAATTCTGAATCAATCTATAGTCCATGCATGCCTGAACAACTGCAGCTAGCAGTAGCTAGCAGCTATTTAATGGACAGATTCCTTACCTTAACATACCATAAATAGACTTAATTCATCAGTCATAAAAACGTAAAATGAAACTACCTTTTGAAATTCGTGGATGTGAGGGGTTACTAACATGACAACTTAGGCAGCTGTGGAGAGGACATCGAAACCCCCTGTTCTCAAACACAGTAAGATGAAATTTTTTCACACAAGCTTCATGGTAGAATTTTCCACAGTGGGATACGACACAGCGTTTCACATCTGCCTTTCTCTCTTTACAGACAAAACAGGTATGCACACCTAGTGGCAAAAGTAATAAAAATAACGTAACTAATTTTTCATCCAAACACGTGAATTTAAAATGCTTCTGTTGTGAGTTTTTGTTACGCGTGGGGGAGTTGTTTTTGTTGTGGTTTTATTTTTCTTTCAAACAAACTCAAATAAAATTCTATTATTTGATGCAGCAACCGATTTACCTTAACTTTTTAGTTAAATACTAATCTGCTCAGATACAGATAAAATAAAATTACAATGCAAACCCATTGCAGTTAAGTGTACACAACAACACCCAAAGCCTCACTGATCGGCTTTTACGTTCTTATTTATAAGCCTCAGTACGCCAGGACAGCTGGTGATTTTTTTTTTAAGCCATGAAATAGGCTGATGGGCTGTCTGTGATCCTGTGAAATTTGAAGTAGGTCCACAGACTGAAGACATGCATCATCTGATCTCTGGACCGCTTGGAGCAGGTTTATTTTGAAGCAGCCTTGCTCCCACAAGGTGTACCACGTGTACTGAACTGCGCTTGTGAGCAAGAACGCACATTTTTTATGTAAAGTTTTAAGATGAAAAACTTCCAAGCAGTTATTATAGGATTAAGAGCAAATGAAATTAATAGCAATAGGTAGTCTTTTAATAGGAAAAGCAAAAGATTGGTATAGACAAACAAAGGATTGAAAAAGGACTTAAAATATTTCAGTTGCTCCTTTTTTTCTTCGGATTTCTTAAATCTTTGTGACAGACTTTAAATCCAATCTGTAATTGTAGTCAGAGAGCAAATATTCTGCAATTATTAAGGCAACGGAATTCAGATGAAATCAGCCACGCTGCACCAGAGTTCTCACTGAAAACAGAGCGAGCTTTCTAAACCATGGCACACTTAATGGTACTATATGACCTCCCACCCTGCCAGGCACCAAAGGATAAATATGGTTTCTCCAGAGATACATACTCTGTCCAGGAGGATTTCCTAGAACAACGTATAGGAAAACGACAACTTTTTTTTTTTTTTTTTTTAATTAATAGAAAGGGACAAACTTGCCTGATGTACATTCACTACAAATGAATTTTCCTGCTGGTCTTCCAGAGAGCCCAAGGCAGCTTACATGAAAAGCTCGATAGCAAAGTCCTTCACACAGCAGGAGATCACCTGTTTTTTCACACAGCTTTTACAACACAAAGGCATTGAATGTTAAAGAAAAGTTCATATGTGGCAAAAACTGTTTTCTTTATTCCTTTTCATATATTGCTCCTCAAAATCTCTTTTCCCATTGTTGAAATCAAATTTATCAAGCGAAAGTTAATTTTACAAGCATCATCACATGCCCTGGCTTCCAGTCGAAACAGCAAAGAGTCATTAAACTGCTGTTTAATGACTGAAATACCACTCACAGAACCACGGTTCATGAGTAAATACATTCCGACAGAAAAAAGGAAAAGGAAAAAAAAAGCTTTAAGAAATTTTCCCTGAGCACACTGACGTATCTGAGCAGGGTTAAAAAGCATCCTTATTTTCCTTTTCCATGGCAGAAGGAAATTAACCTAGGTGGCACGGTGATACTTCTGTCTGAGCGGTTAGCAATGACACATGCATAACTAAAAATGAACCGAACAATAACGCTGGCAGAATTTAAGCGATTGGCCAACGTTTAAAGATAGATAGAACCTCACCATCGCTATGTACAAGAAATGGAAATAAAAGCGCTTGCCCAGTCTCGTGGAAACAAATTTGATCTGCCCATTTGTCTTGTGTTATCAATTCATAATCTAAGAACTCTTTTACAATTCAGTCTGAGAAAGCTTTTTGCTTTCCATTAGCATGCCACGCGCACGCTGCTGCCAGCGCATCACTGCGACCGCCGCTGCACGCAGCAGCACAAAACCCGCTGGGCTTGGCTTCCTCCTCTTCGCTAACAGATAAGCAAGCAGCTCTTCGCAATCGTTTACCTGGTTACTTGGCAACACTCATGCACTTATTCCGAGGTGCAAATTATGCCTATCTTACAGATCTGGAAACTAAGGCAGAAAGGCTGAGTCACTTACTGGAGGTCAAGAAAACAACAAAAAAATTAGGAATGAAGAATTCCATTGACTGGCACGGCACCCTCATCACTAACAGACATCTCAGGCACACATGATAAACCTGTTTCTGGCCTAATATTGTCATTTTCATCTTTAAAAAGACCTTTTCTAGGAAACGTCAGAAAACACGGCTCACTGCCCCAGCTAACATCTCTCACCTGACACACATATTCTTTTTTTGTTCCTGCTCCTCGCTCAGATTTTTTGGATGATATAGACACTTCAGTCTGAGTTTCATCAGCACTTTCATAGGGAGATTCTGACCGCTCATCTCCTTGGCCATCGGAGATCTGAAGATTAAACATACGTGTTAGAGAAAGCAGTCATGCACGGTCAATTTTGTACAGAATATCAACTGAAGGAAGCAAACAGGCTGCAGTTCAGACTAGCAGATTTAGGCACACTCTTTTGGGTTTGTTTCCCCCACCTTTAAAAAAAAGCTTGCTTAAAACCAGAGTATGCATTTGTGGAAGTCTCATCAAAAGGACTGTGTAACAATCATCCTCACCAACTCAAGAGCAGCCAAAATAAAACACCAAAACTTTGTAATATGGCATTTTATTTATACTCAGTTCTAATACAGTTAGCCAGAAGCGCCTAGCCAGTAACACAGGGATATCTTCAAATCCCTTGATTAAAGTTTGAATACGTGTTTATGAGACAGTAGGAGTTAATTTTAGAAAGAAACTTGGTCAACTTCAAGCTGTATATGAAAGTCCCTGACCCAAATATTCTCCAGGAAAGTGGGAACAGTATGTAGAAGAGAGGAAGAAACAAAAAAGTGGCTCCCTGAATATGTTTAAGGAACGTCTAGCCAACAATGAATTCAAAATACTAGAAGAGACAGCCCTGTTATGGATAAATCTTATAGGACAGATCTAGATGTACTAAAGGATTTTTTAAAATTTCATAATTTACTTTAAAAAACCCCACAACCCAAGTAATATATTTAAAAGAAAATATAGGGCACTTCTGAGTTCAACAGAACTTAGGACAGAATGGACAACTGAGTCATTTCTCTTATCTCACGTTACACCAGAAGATGCAGAATTTCATACTGTTGCCCCTATTTGATGGTACTCAACGAGTTATATTTCACTAAGTACCTTCTCCAGGAGAGCATCACAATTTGGAATTGAAAAGAAACGTGTCGCATCTCTTTGAGCTTGTTCCAATGGTTATTCACACAGACCGTGAAAAATACTGCCTCACGTCCCGTTTGAGTTGTCTAACTGCAACTCACAGCTGATGATGCTTTCTCCAGGGATTTCAGCTATGTTAGAAGTCCTTTGGAACCAGACATTTTTCTCCCGCGGAAGCATGCTGCAATTAAGCCTGTTTCAATCCTTTTTGGTAAGCCAGAACGCTCGCTCATTTTCTCCCTAAGGAACTTTTCCCATCATTCTCATTCCAAGAGAATGCTGGTGGGTTTTCTCTAACCCTTATCTGTACTTTAAAAAGGTTGTTGAAAAATCAGGCACGAGAACTGGAGGCAATAGCCCGTTACAAGTCTCATAAGTACAATATCCAAAGCAAACCAGCACGCTACTCTTCTTCACCGCTTCTGTTCTGCTGCGTAAGGATCTCCCCAAGGCTTTTCAGCACTGAAAGTCACCGTAAACTGCCGCCGTACTCAAGAGATCATTTTGCCAATAGCCATTCGTCACGATACAGACACCTCACTTCATATGAAGACTTTGCCTTCTGTTTTGAGACATACAACTTTGTATTTATCTACGGTAAAACACATTTTCTTAAAAATGGCCCGGCTTACTTAGTAACGGAGACAGCGGTGTGCTGCCTCCCATGTCAGCCATCTCCATGTAATGTGCAAATTTATTAGAAGTGATTTATTTTGAAATCAGAGAGAAAAATTCAAAGCCGAACCAGGCCTAGCGTTAGCCTTTATAAAATCCCTTTAGAAATACTGGTTTTGAGCAATTACTTCGCACTGTTGCTGCCAGCTAACTTGCATTCCTCCATTTACCATTTGCTTTCCTTGATTTTACAATTTCCTCATAAATCGTATCAGACTGATGGTTGTTGGTTGGTTTAAGTTTTTTTTGGTTTTGTTTTTTTTTTTCTTCCAAATTTCTTGCAAGGCTTTAAATGCATTTCCTCCGTGCAAATGCATACTATCAAAGGGATTTCTACCTGCACTTCACCTATGAATATTTCTACAACTGGAGTGATTTGGAGATTCTGCCTGACTGTTTTAGAAGTGGTTTAAAGAAACTGCGTGTAAAAATCATTGCTTTGTTCAGACACCAGGAAATCTCTGTCCCCTGGAAGAAGCTGTGAAATAGTGAACTGCAAATGCAACCTGAGCGCACGGCCAGGAGCAGCCAGTTCTCGCTGGGAAGGGGCAGATAAAGACAGGTAGCGTGGGCGTTCGGCAAAAACACAAAAACATTCTCCCTCACAGTTTAAGTAAACTTACACACATGCTTATTTCTGTTTAAATATTCCCACAGAGCAATTAATTAGCATAAGCAGTGCACTGCTCTAACATTTTCAGTACCTCATTATGTTCCTGTTTCAACTAGCCAAAATTAGTCATGTTTAGAAAAGAAAAAAAGAAAAAATAAGCTGGAGGGTCTTATTTCTCTTCTACTGGAAAAAAAAAAAGAAGAGTACACTTTATGTTCTAAACCAAACAAGCGGTCTTATGTTAACTTGACACTATGGTTGTCCCCCGTCTTTTCTCCCCATCACAAAGGACACCTAAAACCCTAAGAAAAACCATTTATGCAGCACACCTTAAGAGTTAAGATAGTCTTTCCAGCAGCAAAAGCTTGAGGAAAGCACTCCTCTTCCCCCAGCTCACTACTACTGAAAGCAGAGCAGAGAAGCAGAACCCATCCAGTGGCAAATGTCAGGTCACAAGAGAATAAGGTTTCTTTCAAAGCAATAGTTTCCTAGCTTTTCTTTGGTTTATGTACTTGTAAAATGTTCAAACGAAGGATGCAGACCTCTATATGGGAAGGTAACCCTACTGGCAAATGACAGCTTTTCAGAACCCCCCTAGATATAGGTCACAAAATCCCAGTCATTTGTGAATCATAGGTTGACAGCCATTTTCCTACACAACTGAGATTTTACCGGCTCGGAATTAATGCACCAGCCCTTCATTTAAATTAAACTGTTACTGAGCCAAAAAGGAGCAGCGCTGGCAAGAAGCAAACTCTATATCACAAATGCAACCACAAAACCCAAATTCTATCAGCCCATTCAAGACAAAACTTGGCAGCTTACACCCGCCTACAGATTAATGCCGGATTTCAAGCGTGAACACCAACGCACACAGCATGAATAAAACACCTTTAGCTCATCAACCGTGTGGCTACCGGACTAAGAATATCTTTCAAGATCTCTCCTTTACGGCTGTCAGGAGCCTCATATGCTTCACAAATCAAATGCTCTATTAGCCACCAGTTTTGCACTAAGCAGACAAGCCTGGATATCTGCTCATGGCTGTTGCAACTGCCAAGAATCAATACATTCAGAAGCAGCTCAGCCATATACTTCTACTGCCCGAAGCGGCTGCTGCAGAAGGCATCTCTTGATCCTCGCTACCGTGACCAAAGGTTTAGCCATCACAACAGCCACGTTCTGTGTAACTCATGCACAGCTCGCATCCACTCCACCATCACCTGAGAAGTTTTGATTTCTAATTTTAGGGAGCTAATAAAAGGGGGAGGCAAGCAGACTCCCCGGTAGAAGAGGGAAGCATTTCTTCAAGACAGTTCAGAGTTTGACCCTAATCTCATCTTATTTATACCTTGCAGAATGTGAAACACTCTCTACCAGCCATGTACCTTCACAAAGAACCCTTGTTCTATATAACCGCCTTTTGGGAAAGCTCCCTCTATGAAGAGAGCCAGAATGCAACACCTCAGCTCCTGAAGTTATCCCAGAATAGCCGACGGAAATATCAGGGAAGTAAAATGAGTGTCTGTCCCTTCAGGCCTGGGCAGAAGAGGCTGAGACAACCTTCATCTAACGTTTCTCAGAGAGGACTTAGAACCGAATGACAGGTAGAGCACGAGATGGTATTTGTACCCCAAGCAAGCTGCAGCGGCACTACCAGGTTCTGACTCACCAAGAGGACAGCTGGGTTTTGCAATAAAAATACCTTTAGATTAAAGCAGTCACTAATTAAAGATGATTTACAAGGCGATTGCTGGAAATCAGTTCATGCCGACATGAAACGCAGCCACCTCTAAAATTAAACGTAACGCTTTTGTGGTTTGTTACCACAACTGTCCATAACCAAAGATGTAATAGTTCACATGCAAGTGCCCAAATCACAGCATTCCATAAAAAGCAGCACAGGTTTTCGGGGGCTTTTTTTTTAATTGTTAAGTTACAACGTAAATCTTTCCCTTGTGATCATGCCAGAGCTTGTCTTGTCCTTACTTTTGTAATAGAATCTCCTTAGCAGAGCAAATTGCATGTAATTAACTCTTCTGATATTCAGGCCAAGGTTCAAAGTAATCAACATTTAGATTAGCGGCAAAACCTGTTCATTAGCTATTTGTAGCGATTGTTGCTTTGCTATTTTGTTCTGTTCTAAATTTTTAGCAATTTCTTATTTCTCGTAAAGGCAAAGTGCTATTTTTTAAGAGTGCAAATGTAGGGAAAAAGGCAAGGCCGTTCGCTTCAGATTCATTGCAAGTGACAAGTTTCTGCAATGAAGTTGTACCCGAACTCTATAATCACCTCCACTCTTCATTAGCAATTAACGATGCTGCAACACGGAAGATACCCTCCTTCTGCTGAAGTTAGCACCATCGCAAGCACCATCAAGCTTTACATTTTTGCACATCGGTCAGGCTTTCCTTCCCATTGCCTTCAATTATTGAACGTCAACATTATTTTGCAAGTACTTGCCTGCAGAGGCTTTCCCACCGCACTGCCTGAACACCGAGCAACCGCGTCGTATTTCAGAAATCAAATGCGGCTCTTCCTACTGGAAGCTGCGCATCTGCGTTCACAAGCGAGAGAAAGGGAAAAAACTGGCCTAAATACCAGGAGCTTTGCTCTTCGTTTGGGCTGGGCCAGAACTTACTTTGGGGATCAGTCAGGCTCAGAATACGGTTGCTCACAGAAGCGACAAATTTCCCGTCAGGCTCCCAAGGCAATCTTTCCTTTCCCGTGTGTATCAGTTATTCTCGACCGACACACGTAAGACTCAAAGGGAACATGTAAGGACACGTTACTGCATTTTTCCAAGTTCTCTACAGATCTGTTATTGGAAAAATACTTGTTACCGAGTCAGACTTGGACA